TCTAGTAAAAGTCATTGAATTCCTTGTGTCTAGTAAAAGTAATTGAATTCCTGGTATCTAGTAAAAGTCACTGAATTCCTGGTGTCTAGTAAAAGTCACTGAATTCCTGGTGTCTAGTAAAAGTCACTGAATTCCTGGTGTCTAGTAAAAGTCACTGAATTCCTGGTGTCTAGTAAAAGTCACTGAATTCCTGGTATCTAGTAAAAGTCACTGACTTCCTGATATCTAGTAAAAGTCACTGAATTCCTGGTGTCTAGTAAAAGTCACTGAATTCCTGGTGTCTAGTAAAAGTCACTGAATTCCTGGTGTCTAGTAAAAGTCACTGAATTCCTGGTATCTAGTAAAAGTCACTGACTTCCTGGTATCTAGTAAAAGTCATTGAATTCCTTGTGTCTAGTAAAAGTAATTGAATTCCTGGTATCTAGTAAAAGTCACTGAATTCCTGGTGTCTAGTAAAAGTCACTGAATTCCTGGTGTCTAGTAAAAGTCACTGAATTCCTGGTGTCTAGTAAAAGTCACTGAATTCCTGGTGTCTAGTAAAAGTCACTGAATTCCTGGTGTCTAGTAAAAGTCACTGAATTCCTGGTATCTAGTAAAAGTCACTGACTTCCTGATATCTAGTAAAAGTCACTGAATTCCTGGTATCTAGTAAAAGTCATTGAATTCCTGGTGTCTAGTAAAAGTCACTGAATTCCTGGTGTCTAGTAAAAGTCACTGACTTCCTGATATCTAGTAAAAGTCACTGAATTCCTGGTGTCTAGTAAAAGTCATTGAATTCCTGGTGTCTAGTAAAAGTCACTGAATTCCTGGTGTCTAGTAAAAGTCACTGAATTTCTGGTGTCTAGTAAAAGTCACTGACTTCCTTGTATCTAGTAAAAGTCATTGAATTCCTGGTGTCTAGTAAATGTATAATAACAATCAATTTCCACATAACCCTATCATGATTTTCCCCAAACATGTTCCTTACCTCTGCTTCATTTATTGGTTCAGTTACACAGTTAATCTGACTGGTACATTCTAATGCCTGTAAATAAGACATCACCATGGTAATCACAATAACTCTTATGTAATTTCTTTCTAATCTAGGTTTATCACTCAACAATGTTATGCTTGCTTGTATGGCTGATATATAGCCAATCATTAGGATAGGGTTATCCCCACAGTATTATAGCAAAGGGGACTTCCACTATGGAGTTTAATCACCATAACAACAGCCAATAAAATGAGAAATATTATTTTTGTGCAAATTAGTCGATACGCTATATTTTCCAGGAATGAACACTGAAGTTATTTTTGATATCAGTAATCATTATAGATTTTGTGCAAAAACATGAAAATTGAAAAATGGTACAGTGACGCAGTTTTAATTTTTGTTTGTATTATGACTATTTAAATACCATTACAACAAAATTTTGCATTTGAATAAATGTATTAAATATTTGTAAAAAACTTGCTCTGAAACAGAAAACAAACATTTCCCCATTCTATCAAATGTGGCACACTTTACCGATAGAGAAAATTGCAAAAAGAAATATGTTAGGCACAGTTTTCAAACTGACATGCACAATGATGACCTAACATGCAGTAACTTTTTAACTCCATTGTAAAACTAGTCATGCTCTATTGTTGTAAAATGTGCCACTTTATTCTCCCAATGAAAAAATGACACTCCAAATACTGCAAAACACAGCTTCATGTAAAATCTGAGGTTACTAATTTAGCATGCTGGCAGGAACTAGGCAAATATCTTCTATAAGTTTTAAATGTAAAAGAAATTTGTAAATACTGGTCTAAAATAAACAAAACTTAGTGTAACTATTTCAACTTGGCCCATTTGGAATCTAGATTAAATAACAAATGGATAGATGGATACAAACTAATGATGTACAATTATTTCCTTGTATGGCAAAAGTGAGTATAAAAGTTCAAAAACAACGCAATAATATATCAAAACATTTTGTACAAAAATAATAGTTAAAATGCTTATAATTACATAAACAAACAGCCTGTCGGCTGAGATAAATCCGCTGTTAGCAATGCACATTTCAATTAAAGATCTGAAGATATCATTAGAAAATGAACAATATGTATAATATCAAAGCTGTTTTACTGTTTTCAACAAAAATTCAAAAATATCACTTTTCACCATAAATAATCATCAAAATAATTGAAGCTATCACCATGAAATTAACAAATCTGAAAGAGGTCCATATATAAAAGCAATCAGACTTGCAGTTTTCAACAAGAAGTCAAAAATATCACTTTTTACCAACAATTTTAAAAATATTCACTAAAATTAGAGAATAAAAGATATCATCACAAAATGAACAAATCTGAGAGAGGACCACATGTAGTACCTATATATGTAATATCAAAGCAATCAGACTTGCAGTTTTCAGCAAGAAGTCGAAAATATCACTTTTTACCAAAAATGACAAAAATATTCATCAAAATTAAAGAATTAAAAATATCATTAAAAGAACAAATCTGAGAGAGATCTACCTGTAGTACCTATATGTATAATATCAAAGCAATCAGACTTGTCGTTTTTAACAAGAAGTCAAAAATACCACTTTTTACCAAAAATGACAAAAATATTCATCAAAATTAGAGAATTAAAAATATCATCATTAAAAGAACAAATCTGAGAGCAGTCCACATGTAGTACTGATATGTATAATATCAAAGCAATCAGACTTGCAGTTTTCAGCAAGAAGTTGAAAATATCACTTTTTACCAAAAATGACAAAAATATTCATCAAAATTAGAGAATTAAAAAAAATCATCATTAAAAAAACAAATCTGCGAGAGGTCTACCTGTAGTACCTATATGTATAATATCAAAGCAATCAGACTTGTAGTTTTTAACAAGAAGTCAAAAATATCACTTTTTACCAAAAATTAGGAAAATATTCATCAAAATTAGAGAATTTAAGATATCACGATGACGACAGACAATCACTCATATGATAAGCTTCGCTTGACTAAGTCGACAGCAGAGATAAAAACAGAATTGTGAATTTTTCCTACCTTGGCTTGATATGCATGTAAAACTTCTACTGCAGATAAAGAACCAGATTTCAAAGCTTTACTCAGTTCACTCAGTGACATTTCAATGATCTTTGAACGTTTGAATAACACAGCCTAAGAGTCAACAAAAACATTTAACAACATAAATCAGTGTGATAGGTAAAGCAAACACATTATGAAATAAAATATCAAATTTGCAAATTAACATATCCCGATATACTGGGTATAATATCATTATATACCAGAGCTATTGGTGATAAAGTGTATACATTACTAGACTGTTAAGGTCTCATGCCATCAATTAACCTATCAGCGTTCATAGCCCTCAAATCTTATGGTTGTTGTTAGTCAATGGGTTTTCTCTCACCATGTTTTATCTGATATGTGATGTATGAGGGCGTACTTCAATTATGCCACCTGTTAGACTTGTGTGTGCATGTAGTTTTGTTTACAGACAAATACCGTTGATCTGGACAACTCTTAATTAGACACTTCCAAACTGGCTGCATTTCTGAGAATTTGAATTATGAGATTACAAAAACAAGACAAATTTCAAAAACTATTAAAATCTAGTCATATAGTTATGGTTAATTTATAAAATCAAGTTTCATCTGTACATTATTTATTAGTAATATATAAGCACAGATGATATATTGTGTATATATCATTTTGTGTCAAATAAAATATTCTATTTTTTCCTCCTATTCTGTTCTATTCAAAGCTGTTCTATTAATCTACAGCGTCGCAGTAATTTTAAAGCGGAGGGGTTGTCACCTGCATACACGTGGGAATTGAGTCCCAAGTGACGATAATGCATGCTAAAAACACAAAGGCTCATGGATAGATACTTGTTTGTAAACAACAACACACTATGGTCTACATGCGCAGGTGACAACTCCACTGTTTTAAGGTTACCCAAGAATGTGTGGCCAGTTGTAACTATTATGAAAGATGAATGAATGGCCTCTATTTACCAACAATCCCTGAAATGAGATTTCAGATTTCAGATCTAGGATTTAAAATTTAAGAATAAATAATTTTGATTTGACCTATTAACTGAATGTGTCTTGACAAGACATGTATTTTTTGTAATTGACTAAATATTAATTTATCTCACAACTTAGATCTTCAAACAACCGAAATGTGGGTGAAACTAAAAACCCATTTTTAAGGTTGTGTACCCCCCCTCCCGACACACACCCACACACCGCCCCTTCACTAAAAGCTCAAATTAATATATTTATTCAAACTGACTATTATATCTGAACTATAGCTCAACGCTGGGAACTCAACCTAAGTAGTTTAGAAAATTAAACACTGGGGTCGTTCACATAAACTGTACCACTGACCTCGTCGACTGTATGGAGTTTCTCTGCGAGCGCCATTTTCACATCCGCGGAATCTTGCCGCCTGTCCAACGCGCTATCACGAAACATCACCAATCGCCTTCTCGTCGCTGCCTTCTTCTTCCCCATGTATATGCCACCTAGAATAACTGCGATCGCCGCGATGAACGTCTTTTGACCACATTTTTTCAAAAACTCTTGCAACGTCATAAAACTAAACATATTGCCCTTGTTTTACTTTCTGAACTTTGAACTTTGAACTGTGTACGTTCATTTGACCAATGTACACTTAGTATATATGTCACTGAAATACAAGTTGCAGATGCTACATCAAGGTATAAATATGAACACACTTTTCGCCCCCCTGACATTTTATATCACGTAATTTGGCTGATAACAAAATATTTTTCATTAGTTCACGCGCAATAATTAAATATTACAGCATATTAAATTTGAAAAATACTTGTCATATATGGATTTGCCAAAAAATGTTATCCAAATTTTTCATCTCAGTGACCGCAATCTTGAAATTGAACTAGAAAGAAGGAAAAATTCAGACTAAATACAGATTATACAAACAAATTTAAACTAAATAATGAAGTCCAGACGAGTGGCGCTTTAAGCTTGGCTGCTGCTTCTCCAATAAATAAAGGGAGTGTCTATTGAAAAGTTATCAAATAGATATGTTCCATAAACCAAACAAAATAATACAATTGATTAAAATCATGAAATTTAGCATGGAAGTATTCAAAGTATTTGAAAAGCTCAATCTGGCAAACCGTCACTCGAATAAAGAGGGTGGGTGGCGGCGGGGAGTAAACAAAAAATATTGTCTTGTTATGTAACATTCATTTTTTCAGAATATGTAAATTTGTTGTTTTTACTTTATTCCAACGACACAGTTATTGTTGAGCTGCACTACAGCCTCCAAAAAAGGGGTTTAAACGCGATTGAATATCTTCTAATATAAACCCTACTGTGAGAAAAAGAAAGAGTAACTATTTGCAAGATCAGACTCGTTTGTGAAATGTAGTAAAGCCCTGATATAACAATTAAAAATAAACAAAGATTGCTTTCGTTTTCAAAATGTGCAACATCAGGCTTCAAATATGAACTCTCCCCCATCCTCCACAGCTGTATTTTCACACATCGCCCAAATTGATCTACAAAAGAGGAGCAAAGGAGCTTCATAACTGAGACCTAGAAAGACAATACTTAGCCACAAAAAGATAAACAAATTATTTTATCTAATAAGTTAAGTCAGTATCCACCTCGTTCGCAGTGAATATTTTTGTGGAGACACCCTAGGAGTAGCATTGTAGAATTTGAAAACCAAAAAAATAGAAAATTGCTTGTACCGATATATATAATGCACAGGAAATGGTAGTATATAATCGTAGTTACGTAGTTCTTGGTCATTGACCAATTTGCAATGTAACCAGACGTTTATGGCTTCTGCCTCTCATCGGTGTTACAACAGTGCTATATTCGTTGCCCGAAACGTCAGATTATATGGAATAATTACCCAGCACTACGATTATATCTTTCTTGCCGTCAGAGTTTATTTCCGCTTCGAGACTCAACGAAATAAGACACTTGCAAAAGAGGTCGAGACCGTGGCGTAGGACGATACATTATATACGAATACATGTATATGTATTAGAAAAACAATGAAACTTGTCATGCAATATGAGAGTTTCATGTACCAGTCAATTCCACCATGCTTTTACTATGGACGTACATCATGTTTTTACAGATCGTTCACTGGACATGGCATTCGACTTACTAAATGCGAGCAGAACAAATAATTGTTGGTTTCAAAATTGATTTAGATGAAAGAAAACTTTAAAGCTGTTTTACCACGTATCATGAAATTTTTTTTAAAGAAAAATCTTCTGAAAACATGCAAATATTGACTTTTTGAAAGTACAATGTATTTTAATAGGAATTTATTTTATTTATATATATTTATATATATTTATTTATAGGAATTTATGTTAACGTATTATTTTATAAAAATAGATAGTATTCGAAAGAATTTCCAAATAATTCGGCGCAACCATTAGTGAACATATTATAAGGATATGATGTTTTTAGCACATGTAATCCGAACAAAATTGTGAGATGTGTCGAAATCTTGTTACCATGGTAACTAGTCGCAAATTATTAAAAAATCATTATTTGCGTGAGTGTTTTACACATTTTTGTGTGTGCGTGCAAAAAGTAATGGACGACGAACTTTATTTTTGCACAACAAATAGGTATTGCATATTTGAAATACTGCTGCTCCTGGTTATTCTCGTTCCGAGAATTTCGGTGATGACAACATTCTATGTAACTTAATTTCGGTGATGACAACATTCTATGTAACTTAATTTCGGTGATGACAACATTCTATGTAACTTAATTTCGGTGATGACAACATTCTATGTAACTTAATTTCGGCGATGACAACATTCTATGTAACTTAATTTCGGTGATGACAACATTCTATGTAACTCAATTTCAGAGTTGATAACATTCTATGTAACTTAGTTTCGGTGTTGACAACATTCCATGTCACTTAATTTTGGTGTTGAAAGCATTCTATGTCACTTAATTTCGATGTTGACAACATTCTATGTCACTTAATTT